CCTATGGAGAACTGACCCCTCCCTAGGTACTCTGTATGCAAGTTAAATGAGCAAATTCCTCCTGGGCCCTGAGTCTACTGGAAGCAGCCGCAGTGATAAGTGATGTCCCTTTGGATTTTGTTCAGTTCACATAGGTGAATGAGAACAGGTTCTACCCAGGGAGTTTAATCCCACAGCCTCACCGGCTGGCAAGACTAAATGTTATTTTCAATTATTCTGCTTTCAAATTTTTTTTTTTGTTGCAGAGCACCATTCCATTTAGCATTATTCATTGACAATCAAGGCTGCAGTACTCCCTGGGATGCTTGCGGGAGTGATCACTCTAAAAATAAAATGACTGATTGCAGTGTTAACTCACGTAAGCATCTGTTCAAATGCTTTTTCAAAGACAAACATGACAACATTTTTAATGGAGAGCACTTTTAATCCCCACAAGTTAAACAGCTGCCATAAATACCCGATGCCCTGCTTCCCAGAGTTCGGTTCATTTTAAGTGGTCAGATGGCAATGACATTGAAGAAGAAAAGATTGATCTTGTTTACTGAAATACAGAGAGGAGGTTGAATGGTATCCTTGAAGCATCCAGACCCACAGGATGAGCTGTTCACTCAGATTTTTCCTCTCTCCAGCCAATTTTTGCATTTTCTGATGTTGCCCCTGGGGGTCACAGCTTTGTTTGCTTACTGGCCCAGATTTCAACATTAGGTCCCTTGTCCTGGCTTTTTTGCTCCCTGGGTACTGATAAAAGCCTCAATTGTTTTTTGTTTAATTGATTTGATTTATTTTTGTTTCTCATCACAGATATGTCATTTCATCTAACTGATGCACAGTAAACTCTCTGTTACAGGATGATAATCCAAGCCATTTATGTTGATTTTGGCATGTCCTTTCTTTTTCATTTAAATATCAGCATCAGGTTCACACATCCTCTTAACTTGAGTTCATTCTGTTGTTTTTTCTTTTTAATTTTAATTTTTATTGATGTCTTCTAGAGTTAGAGCTACCTCAGACACCTGCTAGTTGTACAACTCTAGGCATTTGCCTTAAGCATTTTCAGACTCAGTTTCCTCATTTGTAAAATGTGGGAAAAATAGCACTTACATTACAAGGCTGTTATGAATACCAAATGAGATAATATATGTTAAATGCTTTGCAAACCTTGAAGTCTATGTAAATCCTAGCTGCTATCATCATCATCATCATTACATTTCCTTCTTCTCCCCTACCTGTCCCCTGACAAAGAAGTTATTCTTTAAAATAAATGCTAAAAAAAAGAAAGAAAAATATGAAAGCAATTCAGCAAAACTGACCAACACACCAACTGAGACAGACGGTAAATATAATGTTTCACATCCAAAATTCCTTACCTTTGCAAAAAAGACTGTAGGGAGGTGATTTTTTTTCTCTTCAGGGCAAGCTTGGTCATTATAATTAGAGTGTTTAGGGTTTGTTTTTTTTGTTTTTGTTTTTTTTGCTGTTGTTCCTTCCACTCACATTGTTAAAGTCGGAGTATTGTTTTCCAAGGTTCCATTTAAACAAAAGCAAGATGTCATACTGTGAAGACTGGTCCCCTGTTTAAATCCTCTTTGCTGTGTGCTTCATGTTGAGGAAGGAGGGAAAGAAAGAAGGAAGATGGAAGGAAGGAAGGAAGGAAGGAAAGAAGGAAGGAAGGCAATCATCTTTTTTTTATTGTACTATGTTACAGAAATGCTTGTTTTATTCCATAAAATAAAATAAAAAATAAATAAAAAGGAAGGAAAGAAATAAGTATTTATTAAGCACCATCTATATGGGGTTCAAAAAACTGAGGCAAACAGAATAAGTAAAGGTCATGTGGCTAGTAAGTGTCTGAGGCTGGATTGGAATGAAGGTCTTTATGCCTCCAGGTCCACTGCTCTATCCACTGAATCACCTAGATGGACAGCATTCCCTCAGAAAGTATTCTAACGTGTCTGATTAAAATCATATTTGTGCTTTTGACTCACATTTTTCCTCAGTAGAAAGGGGCCAGACGCAAAGCACTGGCTTTTAAAAGATTTCTTTTCCAGCTTCTCCTGGGATACAGGAGGCTATGTTGAACAGTCCTCCTCATTCAGGGAACCAAATGTAGATTTGCAACTTTGCTCTAATTTGTTATTATTGGGTAAGGCCTCTACACCTCCCACCCCGACCCTGTGAGCTGATTTCAGCCTTTAAATGTATTTGTAGCAGCTTCCTTTAAAAAGTACAACACCACTTCCACATGTCCTAGCATTATTTTAGAAATACTCAGAACAGTTTAAGAAAAATAATAAAGACTGCTGTAAAGTTGTACTATGTAGTGTTCAAATTGTCATGGGAATATAACTTAGAGATTTTGAGGCTGGGGGCTGGAATCAAGAGAAATACTAGAAGGAGATGAAATGAATTTTTTTCAGGGATTTAAACTTAATGTCTGGAAATGGAAGCAAAATGCTTATCCTCAGTTAATTGAAAAATGACATTTCCCTCCATTTGTAGGGCTTCATTTATGAAACTTTCTGCAAAGCTGGGATTGTTTGGGTGACATGCAACCGATTAATTCATTGACTGTTTTCATTATAATCATAGAATAACACAGGATTCAGACACAGAGGGCAATTTACAGATTATTTAATCCAAAATCATTATTTTAAAGATGATAACATGACTAATGTGAAAATATGTTTAATACGAATGTATATGTAGAGCCTATATCAGATTGCATGCCAGCTTGGGGAGGGAAGAGGGAAGGAAAGGGAGAAAATTTAAAACTCATAACCTTATGCAAGTGAACGTTGAAAACTAAAAATAAATTAATTTAATAAAACAAAACAAAACAAAACAAAAAGATGATAAAACTGAGGTCTAAGTTAAGAGCTTGTGTGGAGGTTCTGAAACTAGGGTCAGAAATCTCTGGGTATTCAAATCTCACCCCAGACACTTTCTGGTTATGAGACCATGGGGAAGTCACTACCTCTTTAGTTCCTAGTTTCTTCATCTGTGAGCTAGGAATAATAATAATAATAATAATAATAATTAATAATAATAATCAGGGTTGTAAGGATCCAAAGCAACATATGAGCCTGTTATTATTTCTATGTTGTTGTTCTTTTGTTTGGATTCAGACAAACTGCTATGCTGGTACTACTCTTTTATAATAAAGCTAATAGCTAGCACTTATACAGTGCTTTAAGACTACAAAGGGCTTCACAAGCATTTAATCTCATTGGATCCTCAAAATAACCCTGGCAGTAGGTGCTATAATTATCCTCATTTTATAATTGAGGAAACTGAGGCAAACAGGGTTAAGTGACTTGCCCAGGGTCATACAACTAGTAAGCGTCTTGAGACCAGAAGAGAAAACCCAGTGCTCTATCCACTGCATCACCTTGAACCCAAGTACCCTAACTCCAGGTGTAAGCACTCTGTTCTCAGCACCACTTATTGCATAGATGGATAAAATAACTACTTTCTGTAGTTGAATAAAATTATTAAGATATAAGCTCACTTTCTGCAGGCCCACTGAAAGTATAAAAAATTATAATTCCAGTAGCAGACAGGATAATGGGGATGGAGCAGATCTCATCCTGGTCCCATGTGATTTTGATTTCCTTGACCAGGTCTCTACTTTCTAAAAACTTTTTTGTTCCCTGCAGCTCTTTGTTGTTATTTCTATAATTACTAAAGATCACACAGGCACCAAGTAGCAGAGAACAGATTCAAATCTAGGTCTTCTGGCTTCAAGTCTATTGATCTTCAATCTTCTTTGAAATGTTTCAGTCAGATTTAGTTACGTCCTGCATAAAAAGTTCTACATCATTGCCGTGATTTACATTCATACTTTTAACATCTCATTCCAGTCACTAGACAGACATCTCCCTCCCATACTACTGAAATTTTATTTCTGTTTTTTAAATCACTGCTAAAAATCTCTTTTCTTCCATGAGGCTTCTAGGATGAAGTTAGTTCCAAAGTATTAGCTTCATATTTAATATACTCAATCCACCCACCCATACACTATCATCGTATGGGTATATAGACTTCCATATTTAATATAGAATTATAGGAAACTTCAGGGAGTATTAACTTAATTTCTCTGAATGCCATTCATAGGCATTCATAGCAATGAACTGGTAGACAGGAGATCTGGCCAGTCCATGTCAGGAAATATACATACATACATACACACATACACACATACCAGGATGTATGTGCATATATAAGTTATATATTATATTCATAAAGATATTAAACTTTAAAATGACACCAAGACTTTTGAATCTTGCATGTACATGTGCATGTATACATGTACCCATATATACATGTATGCTTAAGTGCATACACATATGCATATATATACATAAATACATACCTATTTATTTATATATGAAGACATTTTCCCATTCAAAGATGGTTGAAATACACATCTATCTTCAAATAGTCAAATGGGCCTTTCCTCACATTTCTCGTATTCCTTCTAATAGAACTTGGTTATAAGACATTCTTGTTCAGGTTCCTTTGGACTAGATGGGCTTTGAAGTTCCTTCTGTAATTGTAATTGTGAATTTTTTTTTTTGCTCATTCTAAACAAACAGCAGTGTACACTTTCTAGGAGAATAATAGCAATGCAAATATCAGTGATTTTCATAGAGATGACTTTGAAAGGCAGAGACATTTGGTGCCAAAGGCCAACCTTTCCCTCAAACCAGAGTGTCAGTTTTTAGCTTTTTAGGGAAGTTTATTAGCAGAGATAAAAAGCACACGGCCAGGTTTTTAAATGAATGTTGGCTTTTTATAACTACCCTTTTGTATTGTGACAGTGCTCTCTCCAAAACCACAGTAGAGCAAGCAGAACTATTCTGGGACTCAGCTCTACACATCTAAAAACCAACCACTGAATTACCAAATAATTCTTCTAGGATGGGAGCTTGGCTCATTGGACAAAACACACCACATTTCCCCAACCACATTTTCAGTATTTATTGAAAATACCTCGTCAAACAAAGTTACAATCATGCTGTTGATTGTTTTTGCTGGCGCACTGAAGGACAGATTTAGGTGTTGCATAGAAAACAAAGATACTTTTGTGAAGAACTTTTATTTCTGTTCTTTGTGATGTGTTGAGAACTTTGATACACATTTCATGTTTATTGTTGATGTGATGTGAAGATAACATCACTTATAATACATTCATTGGTTGGGTTTTTTTTTCTTCCCACTTAATAACTCAGACCTATTTTTCTTTTCTGGAACAAAAAACAGCTATCATCCCAAAAAAGCAGATAATAAAACATTATATTATATAATTATATCACAAAGCAAAACAGTTTAGGAGATAGATGCAATGGGACTGGCTCTGTGTAAATAATAGCTAATGAAATCTCCTAAACCCAAACATCACACATTTGGAAGCAGGTGGTCATTAAAAATCAAGAAAAAAAAGATCGCCAGACGATCGAGGAGTCTGCATTAGGCCAGATGACTGAAAGAGATGAGTTTGCCTTTGGCCTTGCCACAGCTACATTCATATGAGGTCATCAGTCAGGGGCTGCTGATTGTAGGAGAGCTGGTCATCACTTATTCAACTTCCATTCTTACCCAAGAGGTCTTACTTGGGCTCCATGACAGTGAGGTGATTTCTGAGTCACCACTGGGATATTATTGACTCATGACCTGTAGGAAGTAACTTTTGTGACTCTCCCATTTCTCATTGGGATATTTCATTGGGTTTTCCCAGCTTCCTGACCAGGGTACAGAATTGCAGATTTGGCACCCTCAGGGTCATAAGGTGAGCTCCCAGTGGTTTTTGCCATGAGTGCAAGGCCCAGAGGAGGTGTTCAAGGCACCTCTGTTCTCATACTGTGACTGTATAACTCTCTTTGCCCTATAGTGTCTATGGCATCCCTACAGATTGAAAGGCAAGGCAGGATAGAGTTAGGAGGAAATAGGAAAAGAAGCTGATATGTTAAGGTGGGAGTAGGTGGGGCCAGAAGTACTATGGTATGCCCCTGAGTCTGTCTTTCTCAGACTAAATTTTGTTCTAACAGGTCTTTAAAGCCTCATGGCTTTAAGGATAGATAAAACATTTTGGACTAAAACAAAAAAATATGGATTAAAACAAAAGTGATATTATAGATTTAAGTTACTAGGGACCCTAAAATCATCATTAATAGATTCACGTATTGATGAAACTCATGATATTACTAGTTTCTCTAATGTTCCTCCACAGAATACAGTCAAACGACTCATCTAAAGACAGCAGCTATTCAGGAGAGTAATACTTTTTCACTTAAGAACTGTGTGAAAGAATTCTTCTTTAGCGCATGTGGTACAAATCTTTGTCAGTGGAGAAGTATTACTTTAAAAAGCAAAACTATTACTATTACTAAAACGATTACTTTAAAAATTTTTCTTTGTTATCATGAATTTAACAGACATTAACAAAAATGAACATGTCCTTATACATTTCTTGCCTGTTACGGCTACACCAAATGGGATTCAAAGCACCCATTAATATTCAAGCGATGTCATCAGATCATATTTTAAATGTGCTGACTTGCTTTTTAGTGTATCACATCTTTAAAATAAATATCCCTGGGAAAATATGAATATCACTGGATGCTTATAGACCCTCCTGGGCTCTGCCCATTTGGAAAATAGTAGTTTTTCAAACCAATAGGGCATTAGTAGAGGTGCTAAACTAACATACTAGGTACATATTATTTCCCTTTATTATAAATCTTTCCTGCCAGAGATTTAGGTGGGTATCATATGTAGGCCCAGAAAAGCTAATATTTATAAACATTCTGGTTTAACAATATGTTTTTTTAATTAACATTGAGCACCACTACTAATTGATTTCTATCACGTTACTATAACAGGCACCTAAATTTTATGATTTAGTATCTCTATTAAATTTCACAATGGATCCAAACTGTTAGAAAAGTTCTCAAGCTCAGAAATGCCATTATTTTTATTAAAATTTGACACTCCTAAAAATTTTGAGAACATTTTTTTCTAAGATGAAAATCAACAAGATGTTATAGGAGCACACTGTTTTAATTAATTCCCCATAATTTCAGCATTTCAAAATTCAAATGAAGTTTTCCCAATTTCCCATTCATTTGATATGGTGAATTATGCTTAGCTACAATCTCACCCATACAATTTAAGATTATCAATTGGGCTTATTCTTAAAAACAAACAAAAATTTTCCCCAATAAAATTTTGGCTTCTGCCTATGGTATTGTGAAAATTTAAATGGAGATATTAGTATTGAAGCTGTGACCCACATTTAAAAAAAAAAAAGGTTAACCACTTAATCAATCTCAAACAAACCCACTGACAATGAGCCACAAAAGATCTCTTCAAATCATTCCAGTGACTCATTTAACAATAATTTTTTTTAAAACTACAAGTCAAGTATACAAAATGAAACCTGAGAGAGCTGAATTCATATGGTAATTCAAGTCTGTCTTAAATTCACAGGAGACAGGTAATCCACAGTTAATGCTTAAACTCCACTTGGAATCTACCCTGTTGTATCTATGCATTACAGAGGTTGGTAAACAACATTTAAGTGTCTTACATTTAGCCATGCTCGAATCCATAGGGTTCTAAAACAGTGTCTAAAATGAGATCTGAAATGGTATTCTACCATAATTTGTCTCGAGCGAATTTTGGAAGAAGCATAATGTTAAATTCTTTTTGTTCATGTGAAAAGAAAGAATATTAAAATGACAAGAGGCCAGTGGACCAACTGGGATGTTACCAGTTGTCTCAGGGTAGTCAGTGAAGCTTGTCCCTGCTTTTTTGTTACTGAGCTACACGTCAAACCAGTGGTCTCCCATGCAGGATCGGTTCCATTCCAGGCTACAGTTCCAGCACCATTCAAACTTGCACTGAGGCTGAGGGCATTTCATGTGCATGCATCCTCCTGCAGAGTGGGGAGGAAAGGACATGATTACTCGGAACTCTAGAGCAAACGACATGAAAGGACAAGTGTTTGTCTGTTAACACAAGAGGGAGAATGGTCGTTGCTAAAATGAGACTGACTCACCAGTAACAAAGGGTCAAAATGAATGAGATTTTCAGAACGCTTTTCTTTTACATTTAAAAATATGTAATTGACCAAAAGGATGAAAGTGAATGTAAGGTTTTCAGTAACCAACCACTCTTATTTGTCAAGGGCCAAGGTAGCAAATGATGAGTTTGATTACTGTGTTAGGCCCATGGGGCTTTTTCTGACAAATTATATTATGTTTCATGATTTGTGGTTAATTACAAAAGCAGGCTGGGCAAATATCCTGCAGCAAAATTATGGCAGGAAATAGACAAGAGGTATACAGATTGGGTAGGTATGGATGGGCTGTGAAATGCATCCTTAGTATGAAATCCAAACTGTTGAAATCACAATTAAATATCTGAGTATATTATAGTTCTCCCCTTAGGGCATTTATATGGTTCTGCGTGTGTGTGTGCATGTGTGTGTGTGTGTGTGTGTGTGTGTGTGCGTGTGTGTGTGTGTGTGTGTGTGTGTGTGTGTGTGTGTTTTAAATGTAGATCAAACCCGTGATCTTCACTGGTGTTAGTAACTCCCAGGAAGGAAACTCCTTTTACCAATGCAGGTCAATATCTGCTCCACAACTCATTCTTAGACAATTGGGTGGGCACAGGCGTTCTGGACTCTGAGGCTGGATCTCCATCTCTGTTAGCAATGCCCTTGTGGCTAATCTTTCAATATTTCTTCAGTGTGGTAGAATTTGGTAAGATTTAGAAAACAGGAGTCTGAGCTCCACGCAGATTGTGAGCTATAATGCCCTTTTCCTTTGCACATGAGATTGGCATTTCCTGAATTGGCTTTTCAAAAAATAAAGCAAATGCCTCACAATTTAGCCTGTTTACTTCAAAATTCCCAAATACAAACAGTATCTGCTTCTGAAGCAGGAAACCCAAGTCTTCATTAGCAAAGTAGATTGAAATACTGAGGCAATTATCTGAATGGTTCCAGCAATGAATCTGCTTCTGATAGAATTTTCTGGATCATTCAGTCCAGAATGGGTTTGTTATTTAACTCTACCTATTATTCTGTTATTCATTCTCTTTCTCTTTCTCTCTCTCCCCCTCCTACTCCTTTCCTCTCCTTTCCCTCTCTCTTGCCTTCTTGCCAAATTATACCAATCATTGTTTTCATGCTATTATATTTTACCACTGGGAGTCTACTGTGAGACCCAATTCTTTGTTTTGTTGAATCATTTCAATTGTGCCTGACACTTCCTGACCCCATCTGGGGTTTTCTTGGCAAAGATACTGGAGTGGTTTGCTATTTCTTTCTGTGGCCCATTTTACAGATGAGGAAACTGAGGCAACACGGTTAACTGATTTATTCAGAGTTACACAGCTACTAAGTGCCTGAGAGTTGATTTGAACTTAGGAAGATGAGACTTCCTGACTTTAGGCCCAGCACTCTATCCACTGTGCCACCTAGACACCCAAAACCCAATTCCAGTGAATCCCAATCAATTCTGAACATGTATACTATGAGAGTCAGTGTGGTATAGTAAATAGAAGGCCTGTCTTAGAGTCTAGGAGACCTGGATTCAAGTCCTGTCTCTGACACATATTAGCTGTGTGACCACAGACAATTCTCTAAGACTACTCCTTGCAGATGAGTTAGCCATCCATATTGGTGGAGGGAGTTTCTACACTGGGAATTCCCTACACCAAAGAAATCATAGATCTACAACAATAATAACAAAAAGTTAAAGACCCTATTTCATTATAATTTACTGCATTTAGGATTAGATGGTGCAGTGGATAGAGTGCCGGGGCTGGAGTCAGGAAAACTCATCTTCCTGAGTTTAAATCTGACCTCAAACACTTAATAGCTGTGTGACCCTGGGCAAGTCACTTAACCCTGTTTGCCTCAATTTCCTCATCTGTAACATGAGCAGGAGAAGAAAAGGGCAAACAACTCCAGTATCTTTGCCATGAAAACCCTGGATGAGGTTGCAAAGAGCTGGATATAACTGAAATGACTGAACAATAACAACAACAACAAAAAGGTTCCACGGGCAGTTAGGTGGTGCAGTGGAGTGAGAGCACTGTGCCTGGATTCAGGAAGCCCTGAGTTCAAATTGGACCTCAGACACTTTTTAGCTGTCTGACTTTGCCTCTATTTCCTCAACTGTAAAATGGGAATAATAATAGCACCTACTTTCCAGGGTTGTTGTGAGGATCAAATGAGTTACTATTTCTAAAATGCTTAGCATAGAAACTGACACAATGCTGTTGTTGAGTCATTTACGGCATGTCCAGCTTTCTGTGACCCCATCTGGGGTTTTCTTGGCAAAGATACTGGAGTGATCTGCCATTTCCTTCTCTAGCTCATTTTATAGACGAGGAAATTGAGGCAAGCAAGGTTAAGAGACTTACCCAAGGTCACACAGCTAGTAAGTGTCTGAGAGTGGATTTGAACTTAGGAAGAGAGATTAAGTGCTATATAAATGGTAACTATCATTAGCTATTATTAAATTAAGTAATTGTATATATTATCTAGGTTACATTAAGAAATATTGGGATTCTCCACACACTCTTTAGTTTTTAAGGAAAATAACTTGAACATAGCACTTTCTTCTTTGGGGTACACATTTAAACCCATCTGAGTTCTTTAGAATGTCTGAATTTTAATATAAAGGTTAACAGGGTTTTGGTGGTGGGAGTAATCCCAGTCACCGGGAAAGCTGAAGTTGGTGGATCTTTTGAGGTCAGGAGTTCTAGACTGGACTGGGCTTTGCTGGTCTTTGCATTAAAAAAGTTTGACATTAATACAGTAAGCCCACAGGAATAGGGAGCCACCAGGTTGCCTAAGAAGGCACAAAAAGATCCAAGCTGTATACAGAGGAGATTTAATTTCTTGTGCTGAAGTGAGCAGGACGTATTACTAAACTATTACTGAGTGGTCCCTGTGCTTCCAGCCTGGGTGAGGTGTCTTAATAATAATTAAAAAAAAATTCTATACAAATATGTAATGGATATAAAATTATAACGAATCTGATAGTACCAAATTGTGGAAACCGAGTCACAGGAAAAGAAAGAAAAGACACAGAAACAGAGATGGTGAAACTGTACATTCAACTGATAGCAACGGAAAGAAACATGAGTGCCACTGAGTCTAATTCATACTAATGGTTCTGCTGACAGACAAAGCTAAGCACTGCTGGTAAAGGAATACTAATCTTCCAACAATAGTAAGGAGCAGAAAACATGGCAAACTCTTTAATAGCTGATATACAAACAATTACTAGTACTGCAGGTCCCCACAGTACTACCACTGGATCAAAGAGTTGGAGATGGAAGGGACCTTTGAGGGTGCCAAGGCCCCTTCCTACTCCCCATACCATTTCACAGATGAAGAAAGTGAGGCCGAGAGAAATTTAAGTGAACTTATAAACGGGAGAGTCAGAATTTGAATTCACATCTTCTGACTATTACGCTATATTGCCTCCAAGTGAACTTTCATTGAGTCTTAATTAGACTGTAGAAGTTCCTAGACAAAACGTCGGTGAGTTTACTTGGCAATTTATACCTGCTACTCTAGGGAATGATGCATGACAGCCATTTGGTTTCAGAGAATAGGAAAAGGAATCCATTTCTAGGACTAGAAGAGCCCAGCAATTCGTTAGGACTTTCATGCCTTTTGTTGTGATTTTAATCCAGCTGATGATCTTTTAGGACACAGGACCATAGACTTATAGCTACAAGTGCCTTCGTCCCCTCAAAAGAAGAAGCACTGGCTCAGTAACATAGCTTAAGTGATCTTACCTATGCTTCTATTAGGAAATATAAACAGGACTTCAGCCTTCACCTCTAGCAATCTTTTTACTGCATATCTCTTTTTAAACATTAATGGAAATATGATTGCTAACATGTCAGTAGGTGCAATATATGGATATCTCTCTGGGTCTTATTTGTAAAATGGGGGATGGGTGGATTTCATAACCTCAGAGGTGTCTTCCAGCTCTAAAGGTACAGATTCCTGTTCAAATGAAGTAATTTCAAAAGCTAAGAATTCGAAATTTTCAATGGAACCTCAAAATACATCCACGAATGGGATATCCAGGAAGCTACATAATTGTTGCTACGTTACAGACGGTAACTGAAATAGAAATTAATAGACTGAAATCCCACAAAAGAATCATCAATGAGATTGGGCCTGGATGCTGTGATCTATGACTCTGTCTACGATTGTAATCATACGGCTAACTTGCATAGATGATGGCCTCATTAAGCCCTGACTATTTTTAACCTGTAAGACAGACTCACCATTTTTTTCCACCGGTATATGGCACCGGGGGCAAGGTTTGGTTGTTTTCTTGATTGTTTCTTTGGAGGCCTCTTCCCACCTTGCTCTCTCCGCGGCTTGTTCATCCACCATAAAGGCCTATGTGAAGAAAGGTGAGAGGTCTTACTGAGTTCAGCTCCTCATCAGGGGTGAGAATAGGGGTTCCTAGCCCTTCTTTGTGTGTTATATGGATCCTTTTGGAAGTCTGGTAAAGCCTATGGACCCTTTCTCACAATAATGCTTTAAAACGCATAAAATAGAACACACAGGATTAAAAAGGGAACCATTATATTGGAATGCAATTATCAAGATATAAAAAACGAGGACAACAAGGAATTCGCAGACCCCAGATTAAGAATGTCTGCATGAAAGTCCTCACCCTTGTTAAAAATGACTCAGAAAATTCTGAAAGATGGGAATAATTAAAATCTTTCAGACAAAAAGAGTAAAATTGATCTTATCCAATAAGTAAAGAGTAGCCCCCCGTAAAGTCCTTCTTCAATTCTACACTAGGAACTTAACAATAATAGCATTTAATAATAATAATAATAATAACATTTACATAGCACTTTAAAGTTTGTAGACCACATTATATATAGTAGCTCATTTGATTCTCTCAGAAGATGGAGAGGGAGGTGATATTACCATTCGAATTTTACCTATGAGGAAACAAAAGATAAGACTAAGTGATTTGTTTGGAGTCACATAGTTAGTAAGTGCCTGAGAAGAAACTTGGAGTCAGGTTTTCCTGATGCCCAGTCCAGCATTCTATCTGCTTCAACATATTGCCTACCTTCATTATAGTGTGAAGGTGACTTTGTGCTCTTAAAGGCTAGGCCAAAACTAGCAGGCTCTAGAAAGTTGGAAAGGTTTTGAATAAGGGTCAGGAGAAGGGTTGTGGGTTTGTTGTTTAAGAACCCACTTTGCTGAGCAGAAAGGCAGCCTCAGGGTGAGGAATATTTTTTGATCATGATGACTCATGAAACTATCCATTATCATGTGGATGGGGACCATTTTTTTTCACTGTTGGGATTATTCATACTGATGAAATCACAGTTCTTAGTTCCAGATGAGGTATTAAAAAAGTGATAAATGTCACTAAATGCAGTTAACATAAAGAGTTCCTTAGTATATGATAAATGACTACTAAAGACATTAGAAAAATGTTTCCCTGTTCTATAGTTTGATATGCTTTATTTTATTATTGTGAATAAGAATTCTATCATTCTTTATCTTCCTACTGAGAAATAATCTGCACTTATAAAGCTTAGTGAATATAAAAGTACATATTCCATTAATTAGATCAGGTGTTTCTATTCTGTGGCTCTTGAAAATGTTATTTTAATACTTTGATAACTATATTTTCAATATAATTTTTTTTTGGTAATACTCTGTATTTTACTTTATTCATTTAAAGACACTTGAGAAGGGGACAGCTAGGTAGCACAGTGGATAGAGTGCTGGGGCTGAAGTCAGGAAGATATGAGTTCAAATCTGGCCTCAGACACTTACTAGCTGTGTGACCTTGGGCAAGTTATTTCACCCTGTTTGCCTCAGTTTCCTCATCTGTAAGATGAGCTGGAGAAGAAAATGACAAACTACTCTAGTACCTCTGCCAAGAAAATCCCCCAAAAAGAGTCATGAAAAGTTGGACACGACCAAAAACAACTAAATAAAAATTCTGAGAAGGGGTCAATAGGCTTTAACAGACTACCAAAAAGGTTCCACAAACAAACAAACAAACAAACAAAAAGTGCTTAGGAACACTGCTATCTACAGACTGTCAACTCCTTGAGAGCAGGGTCTGGGCAGGGCTATTCCTGCAACCACAGGGCAAATCCTCCACTTAATAAGTGCTTGTTGAATTGAACTGAATGACATTTCCATTGATTTTGGCCACTGAAATGTGGCCAAGGAAGGGGCAGGACTAAGAAATAAAGCCATTCAGCTGGTGTGAGGCAGAAGGGAAGGCATGTGTTCAGGGAAGGTCACTGGGACCTGAATCTTCCCTGCCTCTTGAATCAGAAGAGGTTGGGAGTCTTCTAATGTTTCATCGGAAAGATTCATTCTGTACCTGTTAATCCATCGGTGCTACAATCTGTACCATTTTACTCTAAGCACTGAACAACATCTACATGAGAGAAAACTGGTACTTATTTGGTTCCAGGCCAAGGACACTTCAGAGAAGAAATGTTTTTCCAATTATTAATCCAAACAGCATGATTCAGTGTTTGGGAATAGCCTTTTCTTTCATGGGGCAGATTTCTTTCACTCATGACCTCATTGCGTTGAACTCAGAGGAACAACACCCAACCTCTCTCCCTTTGCTAGAACTTCCCAGGATTAAGTTATCTTGCCATCTCTAATTTATTTTCAATCTAACAGAAACACAGAAATGGTTCATTTTAGTAACCCCCAACACTAGTTTTGCAGTAAGTTACTTCACTTCTGTGTGTCTTAATTTCCCCATGGATCAAAGGATCATAGATTTCAAGCTAGAAGGGACCTCGGGAGCTATCCAGACCAGTCCCTTAATGTTACAGATGAGAAAACTGGGGCCCAAAGAATATACGCTATTTGCCCAACACCAAATAGATAGTAACTGTGATATAAACTCAGGTCTACTCACTTCATGGCCAGTGGGCTTTCCACCATTTTGGAGATAGTTGAGTGGAACTAATGAGACAACATCTACTTGGTGAAGGCAGAGTGATACAATGGAAAAAAACAAACAAACCCTGACATTGAAGGAAGAGAACCTGGGTTCAAATCCCACTTCAGATATTTACTATCTGTGTGACTGTAGGTAAGTTATTTGTTTCATTGTCTGCAATGTGAGGGGGTTGGGCTCAAGGGCCTCCGAAATTCCTTCTGGCTCCAGATCTGTGATTCTTTTGGCCTGGATAATGTGTATAAAGTGCTATATAAATGCCTACTGTTATTATTATAACTTTAGAGAACTATTTAGCCATAGTCACATGCTGAAATCCGATTGAAAATCCAAATCAGTTTAATAAATTCATTAACCCCTACTTTGGGTGGTGGATATTTGTTACCCCTTCATGTCAAGTCCACAAGCATTCCTATATCAAGTACTTACTGTGGGTCAGACACTGTGCTTAGCACTGGGATTACAAATTCAAGCAACAAGAAAAACAATCCTCGATTTTAAGTACCTTATAGACTGATGGGGGATAAGAACACATAAAGGGAAGCTGAAAAGTAGGGGAGTGAAGAAGGGCCCAGGAGAAGAGCTTTGAAAAGAATGAAGAAGTGAATATGGTTGGTCTGGGTACTGTCCTTAGAAGAGAGGTTCCAGGAGGAAATGACAAGTCACCGGTAGGGACTTTAGGAATACCGGGAGCTTTCAGGGTGAGAAGGCTAGTGGGGAGGAGGAAACTTCCAAGGCGAGAAGGTTACTGAGAAATGGTGGAGAATGAAGTCGAGGGAGTCAGGTGTTGAGCCCAGAAAGGAACTTCACAGCAGTTCAATCTGAATATAAAGCTAAAAAATTCCTTGTCTCAAGGATACCATTAGGCAGGAGTATTCTCTGTCCAAGAGGGTGGGGCCTTACAATCAGGAGGCTGTTCATCTCTTGTGGTCTGATTGGAGAAGGAGAAGTGTGTAAAAGACAAGCTGAACAGTGACAGAAGCCAAGGACTTGGATGAAATACTCCTCTGGTTGTCAGAGTGCAGCCATCATAGTTTATTAAAAACATGGAACTCAGCTCAGTGAAACATCTGTATCTTCATCTTTTTAAAAAAAAAATGAAATTAGGAGATAGTATCAATATAGAAAAGGTACCCAATGCTAGCAGCCAATTTTCCATTTTCACTATGTAATTCTGAATTTAGTTGAATTCAATTCTGGATTCAAACAAGATAAAACAATTTAACCTAAAGATAAAATGCAAAGTTAAGGCTTTGGAGGAGGTACCTTATGGTTTTTCCTCTAAAACAATCAATGCTAAATCAATTCTGCAAGGCAGGAAGGAGAAGTGGTGATTCCTGAATAGGAAGGAGATATGGATGCATTCTTGTGCAGTGAAGGAACTTGGGATGTTGATTTCTCTCATGACTTCAGGGGACCAACTCCCACCCTCTCTCTCTTTGCTAGAACTTCCCTGGAGAAGACAGGGGTCCATGATAACTATCTTCAAGTATTATGAAGGGCTTGCGTGTGAAAGATGGATAGATTTTTTTCTGCTTCAACTTGGAGGAGAACAAGAACTAGGAATACTTTGCGTCAAAGATACAAAGAGGCAGATTTGTTTTTCGTGTAAGGAAAGATAGCAGGAGAAAGTGATGACAGCCTTCATCACCAAGGGTGTACCTCCTGTGATGAGCTTTTGTGAGAATATGAACAAGAGTGTCATAGATGGGCAGAGTGGTTGAGCTGTGATTCACATCATTGGAGGAAACTCCTAAATCAGGGAGATCACAGATCTGTTGGAGTATTTGAAAGGAAGGAAAACCTTCCCAACAATCAGTTCAAATACTAGCTCTGCCTCTCACTACATATGTGACACTAGAAGTCACTTCCCTTCTTTGGGGCTTAGTTGCTTAACCTATAAAATGAGAGGGTTGGACTGGGTGATCTTGAAGGTCTCTTGCAGGTCTACGTCTACATAGTCCTATGAATTAGCACTATCAAAGGGCAGAATGGCTTGCCTAGGGAAGACGTGAGTTTCTTCTCCTAGAGGTCTTCAAGTAAAAACTGGATGACCACTTAATGGGGACATAATATGGGGGATTTGGGTTCATGTAGAGGTTGAACTATATGGCCTCTAAGCCCCTTTCCAACTTTCTGATTCTGTGATCCTGAGACTTTAGATTTACCCTTAGTAAAAGGACCCAGTGACATGCCAATTTAATTGTTGCTCAACATGAGTCATCTAACATTCTAACATTCTTTGGCTGTGCTATAACACTGCGCTCTTTTGTCAATACGCTTTTTGTCTCTCAAAAAAATACCCCTCTCTCATATTTTCTCTTTTCCACCATTATGCATGAAGATATGTGCCTTATATTGATGCTTCAGCCATGAAAACCCTGTGTGAAATCCTGAAGTTGGTTCAGTAGTGCCCTCTCTACCTCTC